ATTTCACCACTTATAAGAAGATGCATAATTGCATAAGGTATCAAAAGACCAAGTCAGAGACTTTTTCATTCAAATTTAGCAAAAAAATCATCTTTCATGGTTTAAATGATCACTATATATATGGAACAACCCTCTAAGTCTAGGGATAAAAACCAAAATGATAGAATTAGGACAAAAATAAATGACTTTGATAGAAAACTAGTCAATTAATAATTAACAAATATTTTTATTCATTAGAAACATATACAAACAAGAATAGAAGCTTGAAAACAAAAACAATCATAACTTTTTATACAAGACCCCAATTCATTCATTGTTAGATAATCTAAAAATTACATTCTAAAATTTAAAACAACAAAAGAAGCTTGAAAACAAAAAGAATCATAACTTTTTATACAAGACCCCAATTCATTCATGGTTAGATAATCTAAAAATTACATTCTGAAATTTAAAACTACATATGATAAATTTATTTTTCCAATGTAATAAAGAGATGCAAATTTAAGCTCAAAGTTAGCCCATAGGCTGACAATAAACAACATCAAGAACTTCACTTATTTATATTTCCAACCTAAAATCAAGTAGACCAACATCAATATGACTATTAGAGGACACTTCCATGTTAAAATATGAGGCATATATTTCATTTATAGAGAAAACCTAATAACCCTTTAAAAGATAAAATATTAAATTGCCCCTGAATAATATACTTATATTATTTTAAGATAATCTTATAAATTTATGCAATTTAGTTCCTACTTGATTTTTCTTGGTTTAAAATTGTAGTCCCTAATATAAGTTATGTTCTAATATTTAATTTCTAATACTTATTTTCAATCAAGTCATACTTGATTAATCATCCTAGTTTAATGTATTACCAATAGTTCTTAATATGTGTGACCTATTAAATTTTTAATATGTTGGCTTAAATATAAATCACATTCCTAAATAATATAGGATTATATAAATTAAATAATTTAATTTATTATCAAATTAATAATTGATTAATTTATATTTAAATATCAAGTGTACCATTGAACAATGTAATATGATCCTATATAATCATATTGGTATGTACTCCTTTTGCCTAAAACATAAAATAAATCTTGTCTTGTATATAACATTACATATATGATGGATCCTATAATCAAGGAATATGAAATTATTTACATCTTATCTCTCTTAGTTTATGTCTCATGGGAACATGTCCTTGGAGAGATGCATCTTGTGTAAAATAGATAAGTATCCTTTTTTAAATTTTTCTATGCTAAATCATTCTAGCATATTATCTATATATGTGGATTGGGATAATCCAAGAAACCTTCTAAATCTATCTCTATATATATTTATTCTTAGTATATAGGTTGTTTCTCTTATATCTTTCATGGAAAAAATATTTTATAACCAAATCTTTATTGATTAAAATAAAAGAATATGTTTTCATATTGATAAGATGTCATTTACATACAATACTTAGAAAAAAACTTCACTTTCGCTCATCTTTTTTATAAACACAAGGGTCATCTATACTTTTTTTTTATAAAATCAAATTATTTGATTGTCTCATCAAAAATAAATATGCAAACTCTTTTAATCTTTCATATGTCTATAAATGAATTTTTGTAACTTTCTTATTTTATTGAAAAATTACTTAGATTCAAAACCTCTAGATACATCTTTGTGGAGATTCTCACACAAAAATATATTTTTGACATCCATTTATCAAATCTTATAGTTATGGTATGCAACTATAACAAGTAGGATCCTTATAGATTTTAATATAGCTTCCAATGAGAAGTTTTCATCAAAGGCAACTCTTGTCTTTGTTTATAACCTTTAATAACTAGTATAGCTTTATATCTTTGTAAATTGTCATCCATATTAGTCTTTCTCTTAAAAATTCATTTATATACAATGGGTTTTATCCCTTCAGATAGATCAACTAAGATCTATACATGGTTGATGTGCATGAAATCCATCTCAAAATTCATAGTTGTAAGAAATTTCTTAAAACCAATATTAGATATTGCTTCTATATAGTTGGTATGCTCATCAAGTATAAGATACTCATCATTTTTTATCTTTCATAAGATGTCTATATTCTATTGACGCATGACATGTCTTACCAAATCTACATAGTTCTTGTATTTCTTGAGCTTTAAGCTGAACATCCAATATTTTAGTCTTAGGCTTGAGCTTCATTTGAATATTAGTTTGTGATTCTCAAACTTCTTTAAGTTTTTTTTTTTTTTGTATTCTTGTCTCCTTTAAAAATGACCAATGAAACATGTAAAAAAATGGTTGAAAAAAAGTTATTTAATTCAAGTATTGAAATTTTATTGATGTACTATTAAGTTCTGCCCGTGTTAAAAGATGAAAAATACTATTATTAAAATATAATATGATATTATATTCATAAAAAAAACCTAATATATTTGATATAGTTTAATAGATATAAAGCATAGGTAGTAAACATAATGAGGTTTTTCTTTTTAAAGTAGCACAATAAAAAACAAATGAGGAAATAACAATTCAAAATTTATTTTAAAAAATAGCATAGTTTAGTGAAGCGCAAGCAACATTTATGCTTTATAAGTTATATGTGTCATTTGTGACTCTGTAAAAAGAAAATACATAATTAAATGAGTTTGATATAAAATAGGATTAAAACTATTTTGAAAAAAAAAGTAGAGTGATTTAGTTAAGATAAAATTATGTGGCTCTCCATTGCCACCGCTACCCTACCTCTCATTTATGTAATGTCATTGTATTCACCTTTTATATATCATATGATAGTGTATAAAATTCTTTAGAAACTAAACTTAAATCATAAGTTGTTAAAAAAATAAATAAACTTATGATTTTAAAAAAATTAATATTTAATATAGTTTATAAAAATACTTTTCAAATTAAAATATATTAAAATAATATATTTTTTAATTTTTAATATTAGTTTATTAAAATTATCAAAAACATATAAAAATAATATTTTTTAAAATAAAAAATACTTTAAAAACAGATTCAGCAGAAAAATCAAAACCACTTGAATAGTATGTCCACCTCCATACATTCTCCTCATCTTTATGGGAAGACCCATCTTTCTTTTTCTCTCTCTTTTTGAAATCAACTCTAAAACTTGTAACAAAAACCCACCAAACCAAAGGTAAACAAGAATGTTAGTTAGTTGTTAAGGCAAAAGGGCATTTATAAGGGCTACGGTTGTTACCCTAAATGATTTGTCGATTATGATTTTGTCAACCATTTTATATTAGTTTCTGATACTCAAACCTAAAATTCGCTCTCCCTGGTAAACAGGAAATTCCTAGCTCTAGAGAGATGCACCCGCACCTCCCTCACATTTCGTGGCAATACGTGCCATATTCACATGATTCCTACATGTTTCATATCAATGACTCACCTTAATCTCTCTCTACTCTATCATTAGGGTCATTCTGATCTCCTATCCTGCACCACCTCATATCCTTTCCTCCTCCACCACCACCTTCATTTGGCCTTCCCTTTAGCAACCTCCATCATCATCTATTCTCGATCTGTTAGTGTCTTGAATATCATACAAGCAGCGGAAACCATAAAATGAAATTATTCGGAAGTCTCTAGAATCTTGTTAGACAAATCTAAGGTTAGGGATTTATTACTTGAATATATAATCTTTTTTGTTTTGAATAATTCTTTAAATGTCGAGTTATCGCAAACTACAAGTTGTCTAATTGTTTGGCCTCCAACAGTAATCCATACAAACCATATATGAGAAATATTCTAAATCCCTATTTAGAAGAGAGAGATTGATATGCCTAGAGTGTTAGTTCTAATTCTGTGTTTTTGTAGCATAGCTTTCTATTTATAGAAAAATCTAAAAAAAAACCTATAAATTAGTAAAATATTAATTTTTCCTTGAATAATATCCATATATTAGTTCATGAAAATTTTAGAAATTAATACAATCAAATCCTTACTTGATTTTTCTAGGTCTAGAAATATAATATGTATTAATTATATTCTAGTTCTTCATTTCTAAAATAGATTTTAATCAAGTGATACATAATTAAATCATCTCAGAAAGTTTGACCAATGATTCTTAATGTGTGTAATCCATTAGGTTCTTAATACGTTGACTCAAATATAAATTTTAATTTTAATTAAATAGAATTTAAAAAATTAATTTATTATCAATTAAATAATTTATAGCTCTAATGAATATTCAGTATTTAAAAAAGTATCGACTATAAATATTTTAGGAACAACTTTATAATTTTATTAGCAATGTGTTTTTATGTTATAGACTTTATATGTACTCTAAATTTATTAATCTAATATTATATTAATATTAAAGATAAATTATGTATTTAGAAATAAAAAATAGATATTTATATAAATATAACAATACCAAGTGTAACAAAAAAAAATTATTGCAAGGCATATTAAAAAAAGAAGATCTCCTTCCATCCTCGTAGTCGCGACCGAGCCATGGCAAGCTCATCCCTTCGCATCAATGCTCCTTGTCCCTTCGTTTTGGAAATGATTATTAATGTATGTGATTTATTAGGTTCTTAATATGTTTATTCAAATACAAATTTTAATTTTAATTAAATAGAATTAAAAAAATTTTAAAAATAATTTATTATCAATTTAATAAATAATTCATTTATATTTGAAGATCAGATACATTATCTAGATACATTGTCTAGCAACATGTCATGATCCCTCAAATTTTAGAACAATCATTAGTGGTTGCAACATGTCATGATCTCTCAAATTTTAGAACAATCATTAGTGGTTTGACTTAATCCTTTAGTGACTGATTTCTCAGTGTAATTAATATTATTTTTATTGATAATGTTTTGATTTAACACTAAAGCATGGAGCATATATTTCATGTTAAATCATATTTGTTATCAACATAATAGTCATTCATCATTTGAATAAAATTTGAAACTATTTCAAAATCCAATTCCATCTTTGACAAAAGATTTCACAGTCAATACTATTTGAGAATAAATGTAATATTTTTTCTAATTCATCTAGGATGATAAATCCTCTCTTAATCACTCAAGTACCTTCATATAGTTCATGGTATATTCAATTTTGTCTTTTCGTTACCTTGATTAAAATATATAACAAGATCAAAGTATAATATTCTTTATATAAGATAATTTAGTAATCTCAAGTCTAATAATTATTTATATAACCATTACATAAGTTTTTTTATAAATATAAATAATCTCTACATATAAAATTTTTATATAAATCTATTTAATGTATATATCTTATAACAAGAAATGAGCCATCCTCGTGGCCGTGACTGAGCCATGTCAAGCTCATGCCTTCGCATCGACGCTGGAAATGATTTAGACCCTCTGTTTTGAGCACTGCCAGGCCCTTACTAGCCTCGGCCTATCCTGTTTTTATACTAGAATGAGCATATCCCTCCAATTTTGCAAGCCTATCCTATTGTGTCCAGGGTCTTGACATCCTTGGATCTTTTAACTGCTGCTTTAACTGATGGTTTCAACGCAATCACTGCAGCTTGCGCTGGTCCAACCAAGTTTATTAGTTATTTGTATCTTCGATGATCCAAGTTACATTGGATGCGTTGGTGACGAGACCTTGCTGCTAACTGTCTTAAATTAAGGGTTTGGCATCTCGTTGATATGGCGTCCTTGGGGAGCACTAGAGAGGAACCTGAAGATGATGGATACACGATGGAGGATGAAAGGATTAGTAAAGCGGGGGTGGATTTTTTCGCTGCCCTTCCTCTTTTACAGGAGTTGGTTCCGGATGTTTACCAGAATGTCAGGGATAGTGCTTTGGCTTTGGAAGCGCTTCATTCAAAATGTCCTGAGTTGAAACTGCTTAAATTGGGGCAGTTTGATGGGATATGTGTGGCCATTGAGACGGGGCTTGATGAAGTTGGCTTGTGTTCAGGCCTGGAATCATTGTCGATAAAAACTCGGCAGATTTGACGAACATGGGGTTATGGGGTTGATCAAGATTGGTAGGCGGTGCTGTAAACTGGCGAAGTTTGAAGTTAAGGGATGCAATGAAAGGAACGAGGACAATGGCCTCATTGCTCCATAAGACTCTGATAGAGGTCAAAATATCCTATTGCGAGAATCCTAGTGCTGCAGCATCTTTGCGATCACTGGAACCTGTTCAGGATGTGATTGAAAGACTACACGTCGACTGTGTCCGGGATGGTTGCGAAGAGCATGAGTATGCAAGCAAAAAGAATAGGTGCAAAGTATTCTTTGCATCCTGATTTTTCCTCCAGTGAGCAAAGCAATGGAAATAGAATTTTCTCTATGGATTGGTGCTGGTGAGCTTTTGACTCCACTGCCGATGACTGGCCTTGATGTTCATCCAAATATTGAGGAAATCAGGATAGGGTTGAAAGAGACTGCAGAAGCGGGCACAAACCATCGAAGCGTTTATCTGCCTTGCTTGTTATCCTCGACTGTCAAAGATGCAGCTGGATTGTATACAAAAGGTTTTGCATTTACCACATCATATGGGCAGGTGGATTTGAGCCAGCGGAAGAGGTTCTTCTTGAATGGAATCGGGAATTTAAGCCTGTATGAGCTTTTGATTATTTGCCACCACAAGATAGGGACGTCAATCAAAGGTGTCTGTCGCTTCAAGGAGCTGGTCTTCTTGCGGAATGCCTTGCAATGAGTCACCTTTTGCAATTACTCAATCAATAGGTATGGTCAATATTTTAGATCCTTCCTCTTTTGTCTTTCTTTTTTCTGGCGTCGCATTGAAAGGAGCAGATATCGTATAAAATTTCTAGATTGTCAACTGCAATCGAAACTATTTTTTTTCTATCTCATTATCTGGCAGAAAATTGAACAAAAACGATAGAGTTTGTGCCCCAGAAAAATTGAAGAATTTTATGTTTTCACAATGATTTGGAAAATTATGAGTTTACAACTTAGCCGAGAACATTGCAACACCTCTACCATATATGCACTAGAAACATACTTATCGGCAAAGCTCATACTCGCAATCATGCAATCGAGAAAGTATCTCTTCACAGCTTGGCCGTAAATGCGAATCTGCCCAGCAATCTGGAGAAAAAAAAAAAAAAAGGCACATTATACATTGTTTAAGACAACTCTAGTATCCACCCATGAAAATAATTATAATTGGGTAACAAAAACATTTATTTAAACGAGAAATTCCAAATAGAGGAACTAGGAATGGGGCAAGCATGCATGCTCTTCGAAATTATTCTTCAAAGCCAATTATCACAAGCAAAGCACATGTTTTGGGGCTCCGGCAAAGTTATTAAAAAAAATTAAATGATCTCCGTTAGCCTGTAACCACAGATAGAGTTACCTGATATTAGCTTGCCCAGTGGACCTTCTGGAATCTCCAAACGGGATCTCTCATTCGCAACAGCATAAACCACCTACACAGGATAAAGAAAAAGAACTACAAGTCAAATTGCAGAAATATGGGAAACAAAAGAGTTGGGGAATGAAAAAAGGGAGTCCTGATAGAAAGAGTGTAACATACAAGATAAATCTAGTAAAGGTCCTGAAGGAACACATTATTCATCACGCAACTGCCCCAAAGAGAAAAAGACATAAAATTCTGAAGTGAAATGAGAACGACTAAGCATACCCTTTCTGGTGGTACACCTTCCCATGGCCTATTTAGTGTGCAGAGCTCCCACATTATCACCCCTAGGCTGAAAATATCACATTTTTCAGTGAAGAGTTCATTACGAATTAGCTCTGGTGCCATCCATTCAGGAGTTCCAGCAGAAGAGGAGTCCCTGATTGGTGTGTCTGTCATTACTCTGGAGAGTCCAAAATCACAGATCTTGACTGTCATATGCTTATTCACAAGGCAATTTGCACTTTTAAGATCCCGATGAACTATCCTCATTCGATGCATGCACATCAACCCCCTTAATGACGAGCAAAAGAATAAAATATTATATAATCAGAACATAGCTGAATGCCAACTTGTAATTAATTACCTAATGTAGCTTACTAAAATGCTACTGGAACTAGCAGCTCAAAGCACCCACTCTTTTTTAACAGCTAATAAGTTACCCAGCCCACACAAGCTTCAATGATGGTAACAAGTAGCAGTCAAAATCCCCAGATAGGAGTCAAGGATAGTTGGCAATTACACAGATAGGAGTCAAGGATAGTTGGCAATTATATATAGAGGCTCTCATTATCAGTTAGGCACAAAAAAAATTCATTTAAAAGCATCTCTTCGCTTCAGTTGTCTATTTGTATCACATAGGCGATGTTGTGTATCAACCTTTCACAATCATGTCAAGTTTCTCTTCTCTACAGAGAGCAGTGTTCTTTATCTCTACTCATCAAGCTCCAAGGGAGGTATTAGGCATAATATTATATTCTTAAAAATGATGTCACATATAAACCATGATAAAAGAATAGAGAAGTTTGCATTCAAGAAAATTGTTTAGCTAAGACCACCACAAATTTTCAAAGTTAGTTCCTCAAAATAAACAAGCAAAGATGCTTATCCACAGAAGCATTTTCTAAATTAGGACATGACAAACACACCTGCATATATCACATAACATTTTTAGCTTCCTCCGCCAGCTAAGCTTCTTCTTCTGGCCACTCAAGTGGATCAAATAATACAAGGACCCCATCTCCATGTATTCAGTCACCATTGATAAGCGTGGAGGCCTCGTGCAAGCACCCAGAAATAAGATAACTGTGACAACCAGCATCAGTTGGTTCAGATGTCAGGAAATAAAATGAAGTAGAAGAAAGATAGCAAGGAAGGAAGGAAGGTGGAGAAGAAGAATACAAAAGGGAGAAAAATGAAGTTTCAACTCTCAATAACCTTCAACTACCTCAAATTAGTAGATTACTTCCATTATATATAGGCACCTAAACCCTAGTTAAACCCTAAAATGGAAAAGAAAATGCAGTAAGGTCTTAACAAAATAAAATCCATAACTAATACTGCACATTATCATGACCTTTTTTTTAATATAAAACAAATAACATACCAAGATAAGTAACTAGATCCACCAAATAGCATTCAAAGAAAGTAGAACAAATCTCCTACTTTACTAGAAAGAAAATTCTTATATATGTTCCATTCATTCTCCAACATTCTCCTCTTCCCGGGAAAAACTCAACATTACTTCGATTCAGCTTTCCACAGCTTGAAGTTGCTCATTGAGTCTTTGTTCCATTTAATTTGCTGGGTCCCAAATCCAACCAAAAAGCTCAACGGGTTTATGAAAGTCAAATTCCTGGACCTGTTATAAATTTAGGGTGATATGGTGATCAAAAAATTAATGTTACGAGTTTGGGTTGAGCTTAGGCTTTGATACCAAAGTTACATCTCTTTCTTTGTCATTATCAATCTCCCATAATTTTCACTCAATAGATTTGGACAGAAATTTCACTTCTTTTCACAGACACCAAACTAAAAGCAAGGTACTGAACATACTGAATTTCAAATGACCATGTTTGAACAAAAACCATATTCAGCATCCAATCAAATCAGTGCTACATCAAAATGGAAAATCCAAAAAGGGCAAAACCAGCAGCTATGAGGTCACAAAAAAAGCCAAGGCAGGGTGAGCAGTCCTAAAATCTTTTATAGAATCCCTAATCAAAACTTACCTAATTAATAGAATACATCTAGCACTGAGATTCCAAAATAGAAATTATTAATTAAATTAAAAGTTCTAAACTAAGTAGAAAACAAATAATTAAAATCCAAAATCTATTTGTTTTTAGCAAAGACTGAATGGAAGGGTGAGAATGCAAACATTAAGTAATTCTAAGAACAAAATTAATTGCCCAAATCAGTAAGGGTAACATTGTGAAGGAGGTAACTGGTCAGGGTTATTTTTGTAATTTACCCATATAAAATCCTCAAATAAGTCTAAATACTACAATAGTCCAATATACCTAGATTTTCCAATTAAGTAATCTCTAAGTTTCCAATCACAAGTATCTCAGAAATTTTCCGTTCATTCTCCATCAGAAAAATAGGCAAGAAACTTGCCAGTCAAACAGTAACAAGAAGATCCCTCCTATCTTTTATGAGACCGTAGATCTTGTTAAATTCACAATTCCAAGTTATACATACAGACATCACGTCCAGAAATCTTAGATAAGTGAAATATAAAAGATACAACTTAAGCAATTAGCAGGTGAGAGGAATACCATTGGGATGTCGAAGACGGCTGGAAGAAGTCACATGCAAAAATTCATAAGATAACGTCAGAAATATTGACAGGATAAAAGTAAAGAAACCGACATATGAATAAGGAGAGACCTAAGAATTGATATCTCATTGCAGAAGTCCTCCATGTTTTCAGCAGTTAGATCTTGCTCTAGAAAGACCTTGATTGCGACATCTGTACCATTCCATACGCCACGAAATACCTCCCCAAAAAACCCTATATACAATCAAGAGAGCTAACTTCAATAAAGCATTTTATATATAAATGACTTTACCCCACAAAAACAGAATATTAATTTTGTTTCCATATACAAGATGCTGCTTTGATTATCAATTTAGACTACAGTGCAGGCAGAGCGGAGAGGATGAAAGGGAGTTAGGAAGGATAAGGCTCTAAGAACTGCATTGATGGAAAGCTAAGCTTAGTGCGTCATTCCTTCCATCAGATATGTTCAAATTTTAAGATGGGCGACATTCAAACTTTCTTCATAGCAGTTTTTTCAGCTGAGCAACAAATATTATCTGTTGTTCAAGCTTCTATACTGCACAATTTAGATAGCTCTTTTCTATTTTATTTTCTCACTCTCCATCCATCTAGGGAGTTTAGAGCAGGTTGGGGTCAGACTCTTCATAAAAGCATGCATCTGTATATTAAATTCTGGATGACACAAAATGAGAACATGAAATCAAAGTTGAACCATGAATTCAAGGGTACACTAATAGATGGCAGAGCAACCACCCATAAAATAATAGTAAGAAAGTGAACAATGCCTGCTGCCAACAGCTTGAGAAAACACTGGTTATGATTTCCTCATAACAAAAAACCACCCAAATAAATGGAGAACTAAAGACATAAAAGTTGAAGGAATGGTATGCATATGAGATTGTGCTCAAATATTTGGACTGATATCAAATCTTTAAATCTGAATGGTGGTTGATGAGGGTTCATCCAGTGAAACTGCAACCAAGGTCACTGGCCAGCTATATATGACAGTTTAAAGGAGAGATAACAAACTCAAAACCTGTAGATCATTGCATAATAACGGGAAAACATCAACAATCAAAACATTCTATTTCAATTTATCAATGAAAAAATAAAACGATCATAAAAGACAAGATTCTCATGTCAATAGCATAGGTAGGAAAACAAATTCAACCACAGAAATTTATCCAAGAAAAAAAGAAATCCCAGGAAGGGCTTCATGATAGAACTAAAACAAGACAATCCAAGGACACTGAAACCATCAAAATACTTGGAAGTATTTTAAAGTGAGACCAAGGACACTGAAACCATCAAAATACTTGGAAGTATTTTAAAGTGAGACCAAGGACACTGAAACCATCAAAATACTTGGAAGTATTTTAAAGTGAGAAATTAAAATTTCAAGTTCATGAAATGCGTGCCTGTTCCTTTCCTCTTATATGAAAACATCTATTAAGATTTTAGACAACCAACAGTGTATTGGAACCTTCAATCCAAGCACAATGTTTGCTATTACTGCAATTACAATAGAGACAACACAGTACTGTTCACCAAGGACTCTTGAAAGATTACAAAATTGTATGCCGACTCATTCCAAAAAAATGTATAACTATAATAGGTAAATTTTGTACTGAAGTATTGACAGAATCAAAATTCAAAGCCAACATAACAACTGAAAAATGTAGGTACTGATGCTTACCAATCCCAACACGAGCTCCAACAGTTAATTCTGAGAAATCAATATTCCATTCTTGAAATGGTAGTAGGGGTTTACTATGGAACAAGGGAGATTCAAGAACTTTATTCCATGTTGTAACCAATTGATCATTTGCTACAAAGCCTGAAGATCTGCTGCTCTGGGAAGTTTGACTTCTATATTCATGTGGGGAAGAAGGTAATGAAATTGCCTTCTGGGAATTTATGTGGTCACTTTCAAGGGTATATAAAGCAGACCTTCCACCAGATATTCCCTCACGACCATCAAGATCAAAATTTGACACCTGATTCATGCACAAATTGATTAATTAGTACCAAGAATGCTAGGGGGATGATAACAAATGTGGGATAACTACACTAAGCCTATTTATGCATTTGGAGGCTAATGACTCAACATAACCTCACTAACTAAACTAACACATGGAACTCACTGTGAAGAAACAACAGTAAGGAAAAGAGTATATTAATGGATCTTACTAGCTATGTGCAGAACCTATATTGGGAAATTTAATAGAAGAATGACTAGCATCCAGTAACTTTAGATTGTTTGTGGTGGAATAGACAATTCAATCCTGGTATCACAAATATACAAGATGTGACTTTTTTTTTATGCCATGTAAGCTAGGCACGGCTGAGTCCATAACCCACATCCATATGTCAAAGGACTCACACAAGATTTCTCTCTTCTCTTACTGAAAAGGATGGTGATCCATCAAAGCAGACAGACAAGACCATAGGATCTACTTGGTTTGGTGATGCTAATTATACAGGCAAACAACCATGCTTGGCCACTCATGTGCCCAAAATCAAATTCCATGTTTATGAATAGTCTGGAGAAGAATAAATGGCAGTTAAAACCCAAAATAATATGAACATAAACAATAATTGGCAAAGAGAAGTTCTTATGCCAAGGAGAGAAACAAAAGTACGAAAAAGAAAAAACATACATTTTTTTGAAGATCTGAGCCATTGTCCTTGTCATCTAAATTATTTGTAAACAACCTATCATTGCCATGTTCACTCAAAAGACGATTTTGCTTCAAAGTTTCATTCATAGCACGTACAGCCCTGAAATAGTTGATTAATTTTACCATATAAGAACAAGACATTTTATCCAAATTCAATCAATCAAAGTTTCAAACAGCTTGAGCAATTTTGTCAATGAATACCAAAGGCTGATTGAACAACAGCTTCTATCATTGAACATGATAACCAAATAACCCATGTAAACAAGGATAAAACAAAGATATTGAGAAAACCACTCAAAGAAGAACCAAATTCTGCTAAATTTTATCTCATCAATCAATAACATCTCAACTTCCAATGTCTTAGGTGCCCGGTACAAACTACGAAATTTCAGAACTGATAAAATTAGGATCCTGGAGCTGAGAAATAAATATTGTTATAGGACCAACTAAATATGAAATAAAGGTAGATTCCTAATAAAAGATACTTCCCACTGAATGGTAAATAGTATAACTCCAAATATCTATTAAGAATCTTTAAGTATAGAAAACAATTAAATAAAGGAAATATTAATACTCCAAGGCTGAGGCTTTCAGCAGTTACCTGGTGGGTGAAGTCCAAGATAAATGCTAGAATCATTTTTTATCAAGGCAATTGTTGTAGAACAGGTTATTGTTGCTAGACATTTGTGTACTAGGTCCTTTTAGGTTGTCTCCTAGTTGAAATTCAAAGACCAAGTTTGGAAAGGCTAGATGTACACCTTCCGATTTCCCCAAAGTACTTGCTCAAAAACAACTCGCCTTTTATTACCTTGATAGAAGCATCCACTGATGTCATCTTTCTCATAAAAGTTATAGTGTCTATGTGTCATTCTTGGCAATCTCATTTTCATGAGGTGCAAAAAGGAAGAAATTTGGAACTCAGCTCAGCATTTGTCATCATGGTGATAGGATACTTTGGTTAAAAGTGTACAAGGAAAAAACTATAAATGAAAGGGTAAAGAATCACTTCAGCCTGTATACCAAAATGAAACAGAATAGCCTTGGATATGAGAACAACAAAAACAAGTGTAATACTGCATGAGAATAAGGTTGTGGTTGTAGTTGTAGCTTGACTATGTTGTAATAGTAGATAGCCAAGAGATGGCTACTAGAAAAGAAGTGTTCTCTAAACAAAGGTGTTGAAATAGCCATTACAAATAGTATGAAAGAAAAAGGCTAGTAAAGCTCCAAAATGGAGCGGCTCCAGAAAAACTAGCTCCTAGGTTTTCTAGAATGCAGCCCACATAGGCCCGTAGCCCACTTTGTGTAACTAAACATATTGGATTGGGCTTTCTTCCCAAAAAGCCATAAAAACCAACCCTGCCCTTGGACCCAAATGGGCACTGAGAAGAATTAGGAGATGGAGATGAGAAGTTACATGCCCAACAAAGGACACTTTATCAATAAAATTTCATATCAAGCCTGACTAGAACATAGAATTGCTGCTATTTTATAGGTAGCAAAACCCTAATAATCCTAAATTTAGTATAAAATAAATATCCAAATAGGAAAAGAATTCCTTCTTGAGAAGAGCACCTGATATCCTAATATTCTAGACAAATTAGTTAAAGGATTACATAAATCTATTCGGAGAAAAATCAGAATAACCTAATTTGAATTTTCTATAACTACAGTCACAGTAGCATAGCATGATCATAGCTTACAGCAACCACATCATAGCCTAATATCTAAACAAACATAATATTATAATTTGTTTTTCTACAATGGCAACATGGATTACTCCAATTGTAACAAAACAGAAATCAAGTCAAAATAACAACATATGATAAGCACAACTATAGCACAGTAGCATCGCAACATAAAGCACAGGTCATAATGAAACAAACATCAACCTTACGATGTCATCACCAATTTCTGGGGTCATGCTAATACTTCTTCTTCTCATTCTATGAGATTCTGATGTTGATGCGCCCTCTGACCTGTAGCTACACTTGAAAATCCAATATTAGCATAATCTCAGATCACAACTAATCAACTATACACCATTGTATCATAGAAATTAGTAGATATACCATTATTACCAGAGATGCATAAACAACAAAAGAATCGGGTAAATTATGCACATGCTGCTAGGATAATAAAGCAGTAACACTTGTTGGTGTGTTTCAAGAATAGGGAGTGTGCTAAAAAAGATGCCATAATGCAGCCTCCACCCTTCCTCATATCATCATTTACTCCGCTCTTTTTATATTCCTTTTCTCAATTCTCAATGACAATATTACATAAACATCAGTATCACTTACCGGCTTAGAACCATGAAGCACACACATTTCACAATAAAAAATTCTACATAAAACACAGGGAGTTTGCCTGTGATAAATCAGAGTAAATTATTCATCATTCTTTTACTTTTTCAACCTGGTTGTATGTTATGCTTAGTCCTCTGTGTTTGAAATCCTATAACGTAGTCATTTGACTTTGATTGACCATTGTATAACTGAAACCTTGGTTGGTTTTTTAATAAATCCCATAAGCATGCTTTGACATTTAAATTATTAGATAAAAACTAACATAGCAGGGTTTTTTTTTTTTTTTTTTTTTGGGGGGGGGGGGGGGGCGACAAGAGTTCTTTAATAAGACAGCAGTTAAAATTAATCAAGGGACTAAGTTATTAGTTTTCAAAACATGAGCAACTAAGTTATAATTGTGTTTAAAACAAGGAGAGAACAGGAAAATATACTTGATAAATTACTTCCATAGATCTATATATGACGTGTGTGTGTACATGGGTTGTACATACTACAAAGGAAATGCGCTTTTGAAATAAGAAAACAAGTGATGCTTTCAATATTTTGTTTTATTTATTTTATCAATCAGAATACGATTTGGGGGGTGGGAGGGTGGGTGACAAGAACAGCTATTAACATTGTCTTGCCCTTTACACTAAAATTTTTCAATTTTTTAATGTTGTTCTCTTTTTGGTAGAAATTAAGTTAGAATCTCTGTTCTACGCATGTACTATTAACATTTTCTTGCCCTTTACACTAAAATTTTTCAATTTTTTAATGTTGTTCTCTTTTTGGTAGAAATTAAGTTAGAATCTCTGTTCTACGCATGTACTGAACTAAATTGCTAAAATATTGACCTGTATCGAGAGAAGAGAAAGGTAAATTTCAGGAAAATTATAAATAAGTAAAAATGCTAAAAATGCCTCTGTAGGCATCATGAGATTCTTCAGAAAAGTGAAGCACAAATGGTAACAACAGTAAATAAAAAAGTTGGACGCACAAAAATTTGTATGTAGAAGTGCAACTTATGAAGATTATTGAGAGTTGGATTGATGACTACCAAAAGAACTTTTAAGTCTTGTGTGCTTTCAGGAGTCCATGCCTTAAAAACTATCTTGTTTTTCTGTTTCCCAGCTAAGAAAAATTCAATAGAAGCGAGCAGCTTCCAAGTGCATTAGCAGTTCTATGAATAATTAGAATGGAAACCTTCCACTGAGAAGAGGAAATTTGGTTTTTATCATTATTTTCAGCATGGTTTTTTGATGGCTTTACAAACAGACAACCAAAATCAGTTTATATATATATATATATGGGGGGGGAAGCAACAACAACACTGTAGTTGATGCAGAAGATAAAAGAAGCAGAATTACTACATTTTATCATGACTTTTGTGCACAAAGGTATTTCTGTAATTACCAATTTATCTGGTAATTCTCTAGGTGTTTTTATTTTAAGTTTAGTCTCTTATTAGTCCTTAATTTAAGAAGATTTAAATAGAAATAGCAGTGTTTTCTTATTTAAGAGATAAACTTTATTGAGTTTGTTTAAATTATAGGCCAAAGTAAGAAAATAAACATTCATGTACTTAGTCCATATATAACACCTAAAATCATTATATTTTTGGGTTAGGGTTTATTTGTAAGTGCTTCCATTCTCTACACTTTGGTTGCTAAAAAGATGAGAGAATGTGAATTTTGGGTTACTTCGGATCTATGAAGAGAGTGCAATTTTTATGACACCTTGTCATCCCCTTTTCTAATAGTGAATTTTCATGATCGTATTGCCCTTAGAATAGGCCTAAGTTGCCACACTACATAAATTTCTTGTTTGCTCTTGTGTGATTGATTGTGCTTGATCTTTTATATTTCTCTACTTGCCAATTAGTTTGAGATTCTAGGGTTGTTTCCGTAACAAATTGGTATTAGAGCTTACCTAGTTATCAATTGACTTTTGCTATGGCTATGAAGTTTGAAGATAGTCCACATGTAAAAGCCTAAAGTTCTCATGTTTTAGGATTAAGGCTTATTCGTAGATGTCTCCATTCTCTATACTTTGGTGACTAGAAAGACAAGAAAATGTGAGTTTTAGGTTACTTTGGGATCTTAGAAGAGAGTAATTTTGCATGACACCTTGTAATTTCTACTTTCTCATAGTGAATTTCCTTGGTCATCTTGTCCATGGAATCGGCCTAAGTTGCTGAATCACGTAAATTTCTGGTGTACTCATGTGATTGATGTATGTACTTGTTCTTTTATATTTTTCTCTACTTGCCCATTGGTTTAAGATTTTGAAGTTATTTCCACAAGAAAGTCCTTAATCCAACCATATGCTTTTGGTTGAATGATGCAACCTTCCTTTTGGTGCGACTCCCAAGGGAAAGTTGAAAAAGCATTAAAAGCAGTCACAGGATTGAATATTTTTTTCTTAACTGTGTAAGAAGTCAAACAAGACGCTCTTTATGGGACAGGGAGTGCAGGATTCTGGAATACCAAAGAAGCTTAACCAAGCTGATCCAAAATCAATACGCCAACCATTTTAGTCATATTTGGAACCTAATTAGCTTTAGAAAAAAGATAATTCTGGAACAGAATAAAACAACTAGACCATAAAATGAAATCTAAATGGATAATCAACCAATTAACAACAAGAAGTATTTTCTAGTATAATGCTCAAATGTGTTTTAAAAATAGGAACAAAAAGGTATGAACCTTGATGTAGCAACATCATCAGCATAATCTCTAATTGAATGTCTATCACCACTTAACATGGACCGACCACGCGCTTGCAATGAAGGATGTTCAGGACTGCAAAACAAAGATCGATGAAGTTGTTATCTAAAACTTCACCATTACAAGTTTTATAGTTTAACTTTGACATAACCACAAACAACCATATTTAGGACTTATGAAAAATGAATATACAACACACTTTTAATCAGATCAATTGAATCAGAGTACATAGAAATCAATGTGTATAATTGCATGCATGTGAATGAAACCTCTAACCCCACTTTCGCCCAATAGAATAAATGGAAAAGAATGACACTGGCCAAGCAACTCAAATGACTAGGAATCCATACATGCAAAGTCAAGGCACAAACCAAACAATACCCAATACAGTGTTAGAACATCCAACCTCTATCTTTTCCATTGAAAACAAATCTAAAGGTGCCCTCCTATTCACTATTTGAAAAGAAGCATTTTCAAGTGACAGTTTCGAATTTTTCCAGGCATTAAAAGCTAGAGACTAGAAATGTAGAAAAGAAAGCCAGTGGTCTAGGTTCCCATCAAATAAGAAGTCAAAAGTACATGCTTTCTTGAAAAGCATGAAAAAACATCAAATTATGCTTTTGCTGAAAAGGCATACAGCCTGGAAATGCCCAACCATAACAAGTATGGTATCAAATGCCATAATATAGTTCAAGCCTTTAGCACTACGATTAAAATGGGTAAATACCCGCCTCCCCAAAAAAAAAAAAAAAAACAATTTTAAGAAAGGCTCCCAACCAGGCCTATATAAAGTTTATGAATTACACATTAATATACTTTAATAGGTTCATTATGCCCATAATACCACAGCCCTGCCATGGGATCTTATTCTTTTAATTTATGACTGTTAAAAGATAGGAGATCATTCCCCAAAAGGAATGAGGGAAAAGAAAAGAACCAAGAGAGTACATATATTAGTTCTCACAAACACTGTCCTGCAGCAAGCCTATTGAAAGAATTGAAATTTTCCTCCTAATAGAGTACTCTTGGCGGAGACAGTGGTAAAACTTAGACCTCCAAACATTCATGTTGATTCCCTGTAAATGTGAAACCAAATGACAAAGCTCTCAAGGGAAACCATGCTATTACCTTGAACTAGCAGTCCGATGTTCAGCAATGACCTTTTTCCGGCTACGTCTCCAAAAGGTTGTTGCAATATTTGGTTCGCTTTGCGATAAGCTGAGAGGAAAAGAACATGTTCAAGTGCAACATTCTGTTCTATAGTATGGTTAAAGTCAACAAAAAGAAACGAAAAATTTAAACAATAAAATAGAATGCAAGAAACAAGAAGCGTCATACCAAGTTCAAATTGCAAGAAAGAACTTTACAGGTGAAGATATATATTATTACCTCAATTTTCTGTCAATAGAGGTGGCAGATCGCAACATCATATTTCGCAATGAAGGGCCTGACACATTTGAAGATGCCTCTAATTTCTTATGGAACTGAAGGTTTTCATCTTTTTCAGCACTGTGGCATCAAAAATAAGACATGGCAACTTGCTATTTTCAGAACTCCCATTAACTGATCATCACTTTTGGAAAAATCATACATTAGCTATTTGCTAACCTGTCAGGGTCCGCTCTTTCTGCAAAACCATACAGAGGACTGTTTGGCTCTAGAGGAGAATCACAGGAATCATTTTCCGCAGAGTCACTCTCCCCTGCTGCTGAAATATGAGTCATAAAAATTGCCCTGGTCGAACTCGGTATCAATTGACCAGGAAACCGCACAAGATCAACCAGTAGTTCCACAGAATTCAACACAACAATCACAGACATGTGTTTATATGAGTCCACACACTCAACAATCCCATCATTTGGTAAACCCTGGGGAAAAAAAACAGTAAGAAATCTTTCAGATATTTTATATCTTAATTAGCAATAAATTGCATCTTTAACTAATTTTGGGCATTCAATAAAAATGGAGGAGAACAGTTGAACTCACTGGGTGAAGTTAAAAGCTTACCACCATGAGTCTACTTTCAAGACCTACAGAATCTGCTAAAACTTTAAACAAGATTGCCCTAGGACAGCATGAACCTTGCTTTATTTGCCCCAGCAACTGAACACCTCGATTTTCTAACACGTGGGAGGCTTCTTCTAGTGCAGCTTTTGCTGGACTCTCCACATTTGGTCTTTTATAAAAATCAGAAACCTGCTTAGGAACAAGAGAAATGAAAATGAAAAGAGCAATTTTTGGACTGAATAATGGAACAAAACAATTAAGAAGATAGACAAAACTAGGTATAATTTGGTCCCTGAATTGGCTTGGAAACAAGGAATTATTACCTTAATACATTGCAATTAAATTACAAGCAAAAAGGTAAATTAAAGCGGAAGTGAAAAACAGAAAAGAAAATCTTTTCATTGTAGCACAAATAGTTAATGACAAGTGTGGTTTGAGAAGCCTGCACCAGACATGCATGAAAACATCCAATGTAGTTGCACAGGCAAGAAAACAGTTTTTGCCAAGAAGTGAAGGGGTTTGTAACATGTCTGGACAATAGGTTAAGGATGTATAGATTTCCTTGGCATAACTAAGACTGCATCACAGTAAAAAAGAAAAATAGTTTAAGGTGGAGAGGGCAACAAAAAAAAAAGAAGAAAAGGGTAAAGATAATTAAAGGGCGAAAAAAGAGCAACTGAAAACTTCAAATGAGATATCCATTTAATAGAACAATGGTTATTCAAGAATTCTTACCAATCCAGCAATCTTTTTTATCATTGCAGCTGGATTTGAGTTCAACCCTTTTACCAGTGCCACGATCAATTGCTTAAGCATGGAAAGCTTTTTGTCTTTCTTAGCATCTACAAGAATGACATCAGCCTTGAAACCCTCGGCTCCCATAGAATGAAGCTCATCTAAAGTTGGAATATTAACAAAGAGCTCCTTTAGCCTTTTATCCTGTACCAATCCATGATATTAAATCATCACAACATGAAGGAAAATCAACGCTCTAAGTGGGCAACCAAACAAATGGAACAAGTTGGAAAGTAAATTATAAGTTAGGATACAATCCATCAAGTAATGTTCATCCTCTTTGAAAATATCAACAATTTGAATAATCCAGAAAATGCATTTAGCATTGTTTGAACTAATTTCATTTCTCACCATCCAAAAAAGAAAAGAAAGAAAAGAGAAGGCATTTCTCAACAACACACGTGTAGAAAAAAAAATACTACAAAGAGGTCAAACATTTTTTGGTCAACAGAAAAAATTTATATCGACTTTCAAAGAAGCAGAACAAAGAGACAATGCAACAAAGGTCATGAGATTGATGGATGCATTTTCTGATACCACTATTTTATCATGAATCTTCCTTCCATCACTCAAGTCTGATTCTGATAGAACTAAATAAAACTATCTCTATCAAAGGTCTAAGAATGTAATAAAAACTAAAAATCAAAAGTTACAATGTTATAAATTTTATTTGTTAAAAGCACAAAAGGTCCACCATCTCAACCTCAAAGTTGCACATTATGCATCAATTTCAAAATTTCTCTTATGCATCAATTTCAAAATTTCTCTTTAATTAAGTGTTCTACAAGGAAATCATCCAAAAAAAGCAAGAAAATAAAGAAGAATTTGACACCACCCAAGATACTTCCTACTGTAACTATATGGAAGCACGCGCCACATTATCCACAAGACCTAATAGTACATTTTAACATGCAACTTCTAACTCTTAGTTAAGAGGAGAGGAAAATGTTTGCAATAGAGAAGGTCAAGAAACAGAACAAAAGGTTACACCATAACCAACATAGTTGAGCATAAGAAGATAATGACCACAAATTAAAAGGAAATGATTATCAAACACAAGTATAAACAAGAGAAATAATCTCATAAATGAACTATTTCTTCACAGGCACATTATTTGTGGATATGTAAAAAAGATTAAGTTCCAGCAAAGATCAGACTACTCAACCAAAGGAACTTATATCAAATAAATATGAACAAGAATTTAGAATATATAAATTCTCACCGGTATGACATAGTAAAATCCATTTGGTATTTGTTTGGAAAGCATCCCAGTGCGCCAGAGAATTTGTGATGCAGTCCGAGAAGACAAACCATCTTCCTCGTAACTTTTAGGTGATTCTTTATTACTCAAAGTATCTTCTTGAGAAAGCAAAGAGACAGAGTCAAATTTCTCAATAAAGTCTGGACCCCACCACACAGAATTTGAAGGCCCTTGCTCCACTGGCCCCGAATCATCTCGTGTCTCCTCCATGTCCTTAAATATTTGGGATGTAAAACCATTTCGGTCCCCCACTCCTTATCCCATAAAAGACCTCGCCAATCTCGCAATGGTTTTTACACAACTAAACAATGTATTTAAAATCTCTTCTGTTCTGGCTTGGTTATGCTGGAGGCCATTTGACCTGCAAAGCTAAAATCCCATGTGAAACTGAAAAATTCATACTGTCAGTTTAAATATTTTTCTTTTATCTAAAAAAAACTAGAGAGATCACAGTGCAGAGGCACGACATCCCAACAATGATACAGAAGCGCAGAAATCAAGACAGTTCAGTCCCACCTTATATAGAGATCGAAAGAGCACCAACACACCAATCTAGTAAAGCTCAATTATTAGAAAGGAGCTCTAAGAAATCAAAGTCAGAAGCCTGATGGATGATTGATTTTGACTAGAGATTGCATCTGCTGATGGATATTTGATTTGACTAGAGATGGCAAACAAACATGATTTATTTTGCGTGAAGGGAATGCCATTGCCATTGGAGCAGATACGCAGTCATTTACCATTACATACAAATAGACACACACATGTAAAAGAAGAAAATAAAATAAAAAACGTACACACAGAATTAACTTAATTAAACAAATTTACTATTTCAGTATTGTTTAAAAATAACTGTAATCAATCAATCAATCAACCCTTAATGAATTAAACCTGAGCATTGCAAAATGGG